CAGCTCCAGATCGTTTAAAAGTTCTGAAAGGCGAATCGGATCGTTCATAAGTCAAGGTCGTTGAAAGGTTTTGACAGGTGAATCGGATCGTTTATGAAACAATGTCATTTAAAGGTTCTGGTATTGAATTAGATCTTTCTGTCATCGTCTTTTAAGGGATCTCAGTGTTGAATCGGATCGTTCAAGGAACAGAGTTATTTAAATGTTCTGGTATTGAATTAGATCTTTCTGAGGGAGTCTTTTAAGGGCTCTCAGTGTTGAATCGGATTGTTCATACGCCCAGGTCGTTTAAAGGTTCTGAGAGGTGAATCGGATCGTTCATGGAATCAGGTCATTTATGGATTCTGGATAGTGAATTAGATCTTTCTGTCAGTCTTTTAAGGGTTCTCAGTGTTGAATCGGATCGTTCACATGTTCAGGTTGTATTTTTCGCCCAACAAGAGGGGAAATGGTACTCCCGTCGCCCCCTTTGAACCATGTGTTTCGGATCAACAGGATTCAAAGGATCTTTTCATTTCGGCGACTGGCTTCACTCAAACTCTCTCAAATATTTATCTCCATCTGCACCGGCCGTTTACAGCATGTTTTACAACGGATTTGCCCTGTTTTTAGCCTCTTTCCATTTTTTTTGTATGTAAAGAAAAAAAGTCCACTTGTGCTATAGTACACTGAAGGATCGCGTCCGTACTAAAATTAGTACTAATTATAAGTCATGAGGCATCCAAGGTCTTCGGATCGTTTGCGGTGAAATACAATGCTCGACTGGCCACAGGACGAGCTTATTTCCCACCTGTTTTAAATTATGTCGTAATAAATAAATTAGAGAACAATATTCAATATTCACCAAACTACAAGTAAATTAAAAATGCAATAAAAAAATTGAGAGAGAAGTTGAACTAAATCATGATGCAAAATAACTAAAAACTACCGAAATATGATTTTCTTTCGATTCTCAATTTTATTTTTTTTTTATATTATCAAAAACATTTTTCTAAGCTTTTCTCTTACTAAACAGACACCCTATCATCTCTGTAACAGAAAAGCCATTTATTTCACCAGTAAAGCGTCAGAATCCTTTCAAATTACCCCCGTAAATCTACGGGTGTAAATTATTTTTTCCTAGACTGTCGGCAAAATTGTCATACTAGGTCGGCACTTTTTAATCAGTTTCTAATCTCCGGTCCGCTTTTTCTCGCTGTGTCTATTTACGAACCGATACCTGACCGATAATAGAATTGATATTTCAGCGGAAATATTCACAGATAAAAACCGTCGAGTGAAAAGAGTGGGGTGGCGCGTCAAATTTGCCCCGTTTTCGAGACGCCCTGTAAAAACTGTACAGCTTCCAAATAATTCCAGCCAGATAAAAGATCAATAAATCAATAGGTGAAATCGTGTTATCTTTCATCTTATCGATTGTCGTTTCGATTGATTATTTTGAAAAAAAAGATTACCTATTGTTCAAATTTAGCCGTAACTTCCACTTTAAATACTATTATTTTTTTTTACTCTCGGGGAGCCTGTGTTTTTGAAAAAAAAAAGCCCATGTGTTCCAACAGCGAAAAATCAGATTGAGGAACCGGTTGATGCTGAATTGAACACTCAGGTCAATAAAAAATATTTTACACTTTGTTCCCTTTTTTCAATTTATAATGTTAATTAATTACAAATGTTTTGTACGGATGAGCCGTTTAAGTTCGTCTCGTGGGATTTTTTTCTAGTTAAAATGTTTTATGACCAGTTGGACCAGTTGTTCCGTAAGATTTAATAGAAGAACAGACAAGAATCAAAATTGTTTGTTCGTGATTTTTCTAATTTGCGGATTTTTCACTTTTGTACAGCCTTTTCAAAAATGGATTTTGGTGGAAAATTGCAATTAACTAAACTAATAAAATATCGGGAAAAAAGCCTAAGGAATAAAATAAATTTCTAATGTACAATATTTGTAAATTTTGAATTTTTTTTTCTCTTGTGTGAAAATTTGAAACTACTTAACTAAACAAAACGAAAAAAGTAGACAAAATTTTTTCCATTCTTTGAATTCCTAACTAAATTTTGTTTTTAAGAAGAATTTTATGTTATATAACTGCATAAGTTAAAAAAATAAAGGCTTACAAAATAAAACTGGTTTATTAAAAAGGATAATTCCTCAAACTACTTTTAAAAATATATATATTGTATATATATATATATATATATATATAATCATCAAAACAGTCAATAATTTTTTTTCATTTTTTCTCAATACAAATTTGTTTTTATAGAATCTTTGTAGTTATTTTCTCTTTTCTTGTAAGATTTATAACTTACAATTAACAACAATAAAGGCCAAAAGGACAAAAATGATTCATTAAAAAAATACAAAATTTTACAATTTTAAGCTACCATTTTAATTTAATTTAATTTTTGAATTTAACAATTTTGAACACAAATAAATTTGTTGTGCAACACAAAACAAATTTGAATTTAATTGAATTTAACATTATAATATAACATAATAAGATTTGTAACAAGTAAGCCAAAAAAGCAATAAACAAAAAAAATAACTTCTACATTAGAAATTCGATGTACTCAGTAATCTTTTTTTGTTAATAATTATTATTTAATGGTACTAATAAAAAAGCTAAAAGCCAAGCAACAAATTGTTTTCATCCGGATTTTCTTACTATAATCTTTTGAAACGTCTTTCTATAAAAAAAGGTCGGTTTTTTATGAAGATTTGTAACTAATTAAACTACATAAGAAAGCAAAAAGCTATAAAAATAAAAATCTTCTCTTCCAACTTCTATATCAGAAATTGGTTGTTTTTTCATTATTTTTTGTTACGAATATTTGAGATTTAATCGAACTATTTAAAAAAAGCTAAAACCAAGCAACAGATTGTTTTTCCTCAACAATTTTCTCACTATATTTAGTTCTTTTATAATGAATTTGTATAAAAAAAAAGGACTGTTTTTATTTCTTTTTTGAGGATATGTAACTAATTAAACTACTACTGCTAACTAAAGTAAGCAAAAAAGATGTAAAAAATATGACTTTGTTTAAAAAAGATCGGTTGTTCCTTTTTTTGTGTGAAGAATTGTAACTAAATAAACTACTTTAACAGTAAATAGTTAAGCAAAAAAGCTATATAGTTTTTTTTCAACTTCTATATCAGAAATTTTAAATTTAGTTCAACTACTCTAGTAAACAAAAACAAAATTAAAAGTCGAACATTTTCTTTTTTAACTTCCTATGTTGTTTTTCTGTGAAGAATTGTAAAAATGCCTGTCATGTTTTACATGGTTGTAGGTCATTTATTGATTTAATTTTAATTTTGCGGAAAAAACTAGATATGAAGTCTTCATTCTGAACTTCATCAGAATTTTTTTTATTTGATTTTTGTCCCGACTATTTGTAATTTTATCGAACTATTAAAACAGCTAAATGCCAAGCAACAAATTTTTTCCCCTGCTTTTCTCCCTATAATATTTCTTTTATAAGTATTTACATAAAAAAGATGTTTTTGTTCTTTTTTGTGAGGATTTGTAACTAATTAAACTACTTAAATAAGCAAAATAAAAACGCTATAAAAATATGTCTCTGTATAAAAAAGATCAAATCTTCCTTTTTTTGTGTTTGTGTGAATATTTATAACTAAATAAACTACATTAACAGTAAATAGTGAGGCATAAAAGACGTATAGATCTTTTTAACTTCCATATCAAAAAAAATTAATTTAATTAAACTACTTGTTTAATTAAAATAAACAAAAAAAATCCTGACTTTTTTAATACCTGTATGTCTTTGTATAAAAAGATCGGTTTTTGTTCCTTTGTTGTGTGCAGATTTGTAACTAAATAAACTACCCTAATAGTAAATAGTTAGCCAAAAAGGCTGTATAGTTCTTTTTTAACATCCATATCAGAACTTTTTAAATTAATTAAACTACTCAAGTAAACAAAAAAAATTCCTGACTTTTTTTAAAATAGCTGTATATCCGTCTATAAAAACGATCGGTTTTTGTTCCTTTTTTGTGTTCAGATTTGTAACTAAATAAACTTCTCTAATAGTAAATAGTTAGGCAAAAAAAGCTATATAGTTCTTTTTAACTTTTATATCGGAAATTTTTAAATAAATTAAACTACTCAAGTGTATAAAAATGCCTGTCTTTATTAAATGGCTGTAGGTCATTTATAGACTTATTTTTATGATAGGGAAAAAAGCTAGGTATAAAGATTTTTTTAACCCACATCAGAAATTTTTTTTGTTTTTGTTGCGAATATTTTTAAATTTGATCGAATTATAAAAAAAAGGCTAACAATTCCAGGAAAAAGAAATGTTTTTCATCAGTATTTTCTCACTAAAAATTTCTTTTATACAATCTTTTCACTCATTTTTTCTTTCAATTTTAATTTAATTTCCAATGTTTTCCCCCCGGCCTCGCCAACATTCAATTTTTAATTGAATTAAACTACTCAAGTATAAAAAAATGCCTGTCTTTTTTTAAATGGCTATAGGTCATTTATAGACTTACTTTTAAGTTAGTGAAAAAAGCTAGGTATAAAGATTTTTTTAACTTCCACATCAGATTTTTTTTGTTTTTGTTGCGAATATTTTTTAAATTTGATCGAATTATTAAAAAAGGCTAACAATTCCAGGAAAAATAAATGTTTTTCCTCAGAATTTTCTCACTAAAAATTTCTTTTATACAATCTTTTCACTCATTTTTTCTTTTTTAAATTTTAATTTAATTTTCAATGTTTTCCCCGGCCTAGCCAATATTCAATTTTTAATTTAATTAAACTACCTAAGAAAACAAAAATATACAAAACATGCCAAATTATAAAATGCCTATTTCATTTTTTAAATGATTGTAGGGCATTATTTGTATACATAATAAATAAATGTATATGAAATGATCAAAATAAAATATGTTATTATATAATTTTAAGATTATTTTTTATATAACATAAGCAGGGGAGGTAGAGGAATGAATGTAATTTTCAGTCGAAACTTACGTCGTATTTTTGATTATTGTCTGTTGTGATTGTTAATCCAAAGTCCAAGCCGTTTTATAAAAGAACATCCGTGTTGTGGAAAAAATTCCAAAAAAAATATGAAATTAAATTTGAAAAAAAATAAAAGCAACCACCGAAAGTCACAAGCACTCAGCACAGCGCGTACTCCACGACTGGTGGATTGTTTGTGGACGGCGCCCCACGCCGCAGGTCGGCACGGATCGGCTCTCATCGACCTCGCCCGCTCGGGTAGAAGGGAAGAAAAAAAACCATCCTTTTATTTATTTTTTTTTTTCACCCAGCCTCCTCCTCCTTACTACATAGTTACTACGGGCCGAACTATGTAGTAACGGCCCCTACTACGGCCGGTCGGCACTTCGGGTCGTCGGAAGGACACGAGAGGAATAAAAAAAAGCCCATCTAACAATAGAGCGAACCCGGTTTTAACATCACAATGGATATTGGAAAAATTCAATTTGGATTTATTTCTACTAAAACCATTGATTGGGTTCATGCATGATCAATTTAAATCAACGATTCGTGCCCATCATAATATTGGGTAATAAATCAATCCTTCCAATTATATATATATATCACAAACTATATACCAATAAAATACAACATTAAAAAGTCGAAATTGTAATTAAACTAATTATTAAAACATCATAACTTCAAATAGCCTTTACAAACTAAAACGTAGATTTTTTTTCTCTTCTAGACTAGAAAAAAACTAGCAATCCTAAAAGTCTAAATCAATATGAAGAAATCGTTACTAATTATAACTTTCAATTAATTAATCTTTTTATGTAAGGTTTTGGTCGAAATATAAAAGGTAAAGTCACGTGCGGGATTCGAACCCACGACCTTCGTCTCTATACGCCGCTGCTCTACCACTTGAACTATCTTGACTTCGATCCACTCGGACACCAAATCCCCATCAACCCACGATCTTTCGAATTTTTCCTCCTTTTTGCCATTTTTCAACCAAAACGTTACATAAAAAGATTAATTAATTGAAAGAAGTAATTTGGTCAATAACCACTAAACATAATGGAACTAATTATAACTTCCAATTAATTAATATTTTTATGTATGGTTTTGGTTGAAATGAAAAAGTTAGTGTCACGTGCGGGATTCGAACCCACAAACTTCTGCTCTAACCACTTGAGCTATCTTGACTTCGATCCACTCGGAACCAACTCCCCATCAACCCACAATCTTTAGAATTTTCCCTCCTTTTTGCCATTTTTCAACCAAACCTTACATAAAAATATTAATTAATTGAAAGTATAATTTGGTCAATATAATGGAACTATTTATAACATCGTCATATCTCAAATAAATAAGATTAAAAAACACTACCCAACAATAAATAAAATAGAGGAACTGATAAACAACACTATTTCTTGCTTGATATGTCCCACATAATGGAGGCGTATCATGCCTTGGCTCCGTACAGAGAGCGTGTAGGCATCCCGCCGGATTTGAGAATGGTTCTCGGACACGGTAGCGAGTTTCAGGTCTCCTGTTCCGATGTTTAGGGGAATTGGGGATTTTTTTTAATGTATACAGTCGTCACAATATGTGTTTCGTATGAGTGAGTGTATTTATTAGAGTAACAGGGGAGGAGCTGATGGTGGAATAGTATCCTAATCGCCCCTCGACCTGTGTACGTGGAGCTCGGGGCTGAAATGAAGGATACTTCTTTGCAAAAAAAAATCCATTTCCTTGTAAATATTTGAACTTAATTAAACTTCCTAAGTATACAAAAAGAGAAGAAAAGAAAAGAAATTAATTATTTTTTCAGGATTTAACCAGTTGTTTCATGTTATAAAGTGGGGTACAATCAGTTATTTCAACCTAATGTAGTGAATTATTTTATCATGGGAATTTGGATTTTTTAGGAATGATAGAGGGTTTGCTTTTTTTGTCTAGCCGAGTTAAATAAGGATCGATATGTATACTAGTGATGGCTATTTCAAGTTACTATGATATTATGAAGTTTCTTTGTATTCTTTGCTGTTGAGAACTATTTTTCATATGGTATTGCTGGAAAATTTCAAAATTTAAGTATACAAAAATAAGTAGGATATGAGGATTTTATTCTTGATTTATAATTGATTGTGACTTTTTATGATTATTAAACATAGAAAGAATAGTTGTACACTTATAAAAAGGAGCATTAGTTTTATATTAAAAGACAAATAGAACCAGGTTAGTTCAGACGATTAATTTCCCGACAAAATTTACAACCAAAGTGACTTAAAGAAATCTTCTTTTTGTGACAATCGAACGTCGCGCCTTTGAACAGCGCGACGCGAGGGCGGTGATCGACCCGCGTCAGAACGGAGGCCGGGCCTATAAAAAGGCGGCCGGCATTTAAATTGTTTATCGTCCTGGACTGAAATAGATATTCCACCGGTAAACACGCTAAGGTCAATTGTTGTTGTACATTGTCGGACGGCACGGAATTCCCATTCTTGACGGCGGGGCCAAATGCGTCAATGGGAGGAAAAATTGACTCGCGTAAAAACCAACGTAAAAATCAACTTCAAGTTAATTTCCCTATAGATTTGTCATTGGCTCTATTTCCCTGTATTTTGTCTACAATATTTTTATACAAACGATTACACTCGTGCTTCTACTAATCCACCATTAATCCTAACCCTACGTCAACAATAGCTAGGAAGAGATTATAGGATCTGGAAAAACCCTTCTTGAGATATACAGACCTTGATACCATACCCCATGAGGATAAAGGAAATGAAAATCTTACAGGAAATCCATTAGCACAGATCAGCACAATAGACGAAAGTTCAAAAGTACAAACCCCTGCGACCCTATATTAGGGGGGAATCCTAACCCTAAACCTTTTCTAACCTAGCCTAACCATATCTAACTTAAGTTAATCCTAACATCAACCCCAATTCTAATATAACTTAACCCTAACGTTCCTCTAATAATACCTAACAATAATCCTACCCAACCACAACTCTACTCAACGCTTACCCTAACTAAATCATAATTTTAACGCTTACCCTAGCCTAAACATATGTTTAATACTTACCCTAGCCTAACTTTATCCAACCTAACTTAATCTATTTCTAATACCACCCTAACAAACTTCTAACATTATTCCTCACATTAATAGCCTAACCATAGCCCTTACATTACCCTAATCTTAACGTTTACCCTAACCCAAACTCATCTATGCCTTCACCTAACCCTAACCCCCACCTCAACCTAACCTAATTATAACCCTACTTTACGATAATTTTAACATTTACCCTAACCCAAACTTAATCTATGCCTTCACATACCACTAATCTCCTACCTCAACCTAACCCTACCTTACGATAATTTTAGCACTTACCCTAATGCAAACGTCATCTATGTCTTCATCTAACCCTAACCCTAACCCCCACCTCAACCTCACCTAACTATAACCCTATCTTACGATAATTTATCGCTTACCCTAATGTAAATATAATCTATGCATTCTCCTAACCCTAACCTCCACCTCAACCTAACCTAACTATAATCCTACTTTACGATAATTTTAACGTTTATCCTAACCCAAACTTAATCTATGCCTTCACCTAACCCTAACCTCCCACCTCAACCTAACCTAACTATATCCCTATCTTACCATAATTTTAACGCTTACCCTAATGCAAACATAATCTATCCTTCACCTAAGCATAACCTTTAACCTGAACTACCCAACCCTATCTAACTTAACTTATTCCTAATACTACACCTCCCTAACAATAACCCTATTCAAACAAAATCTTAATGCGGACCCTCACCTTAACCTGTCTCAGCCATAACCCTACATTACCACACCCTTAACGCCGACCTTATATATTATAATACTAACCCTATCTAACTTAACCTAAATTGTCCCTAACAATAAGTCTTACACGGTAGCGAAATATAATTTCAAATATTAAAAAACCTTATCGTTTTTCTTCCCTGCCAAACCTAGCGCTAATCTTTGTGCTGAACTGACATATCCCTAACCTAATCCTAATCACAATCTTAACCTAACATATCCAAACTCTAATCCTAACCTTGCGCTCGCGCAAAAAAAAGTGTGTATACATCCCAAGATATGTATGAGATATGTTTAGCAACCTGAACCACTGATCATACCAACGGCAAAACTAGAAACATTTCTAAATCTAGTTCTGAATTTCTTCAGCTAGATTCTTCAAAAATGTCTAAAACGAATAAATCTGCCTTTCCGCAGTTAAATCAAGTTGTTTTCTTAAATCAAGGCGCAGGATAGGTTGAACGTGTGCGGTCTCGCTGAGTCCAAGATGTTTTCCCCCCTTGTTTCACCTCCAGCTCGCAAATATCGTGATCCGTTGGTCGTCCAAATGGAACAACGATCGGCAAATCTTTCAGTCCACACCCCAGTGGGTGGAGGCTGTTATCTGTGGACTCAGTATATGAAAAACACCAACCTAAATAGGTTAGCAAACCATTTTAACCGCTTGTACGAAGGTCACGTCCGCTTCGTTGAAGAAAGACAAAATTTACACCACTTACTTTTTCATAAAACCCTTTAACAAATTGTACATAAATAAAACCGTCAGGACAGAATATAAAGGCAACCTAAATTAAGCATTGGAATACTTTATTTTACATACAATTTTAAAAAAAATAAAATAAAATAAAATAAACATTTCAAATAGAGTGAATCGTAAAATAAATCCGCAGATTTTTTTTTTTTTTGTTATCTTGATCAGTATTGTTCATCAGAGGCCCGTTAAGCGTTAGTCAACAATTCATGTGAGTCATGCTGATTCCTTACACTTTTGTTTCCATAGGAAATCGTTGTAAAAATATATTTCCCGCTTTTTCCACGGTTTATTTTTCTTTCTTTACAAAACCATTTTCAACCCTTCAATTTCCACTGGAATAAAAGAAAATCCTGTTCTGTATATTTGGCTTAGGGTTATTGAGATTAGCCGAAGGGGTTATCTCCTTATCTTTTCGACGATAAGCAATTGCAAATTCGAAATTTTGAAGTAAAAAAAAAGGTGTCAAAATAAACAAGAAAACCGGCCACATATGTCAAAGCTTTTGAACTAAAAACCACTTGGATTAATTGAAAAAAATTAAACGGCTTATTTTCAAAGTTAACTAATTTTTCATGATGGGAACTATGCCGAA